GAGAGAGAGAGAGAGAGAGAGAGAGAGAGAGAGAGAGAGAGAGAGAAAGTAAGTCTAATAATTGATTTCATCAATCTTTCTCCGGATGGACATCGTCTTGTTAAATCTATGCAGCTTTTCTTTCCTTAACCGCCGACATTAGCGCCGACTATTATTCCGAAATCGCTTCTGTCCTTAACGAAGCGTGGAAAATTGGTGAATCATCAATTTAATCTAGATTCGCTCTGCTAACGAGATTCCGGGGGAAGGTCGATGAAGGCGCGAGCGCGTTTTTGTGTAAGCATAAAGTTAGATTTAGATTGATTAAACGCAGTCGCAGCTACATCACTCTCGCAGAGGAGAAGCTCGTCGATTTCTTTGCGAAACGCGTACGGAGTGCTTCTCCTCTTCTATTCACATACGTATAAAGTACTTATTTATAAGAGATTCGCAGTATTAGCTACGTACGTTTCTCCTCTCTCCGTCCCGACCCCTCCGCCTCCAAATCCTCCGTCCCGATCCCCCCTCGCCTCCAAATCCTTCGTCCCCTCCGTCTCCTGCCGCGAGTATTTTTGCTACTATTTCGAGCGAACTTTTGTACCGTGTGCGACACACCATGTCAACTCGATGACCGATCGGGACCGACGTTGCCAACAACAATGGCGGACAATGTAACGTTGTTAGCCTTATTGATTGTTAATAAATATATACACATACGAACGTACACGGAGTTTGGACTCTGTCAATAGTCATAAGATGGATTAGGTGGACACGAGTTCGCTACGTCCTGGGAAATAAATTGATAGCACGGCGACATACGGGGCGGCTCGCGTGAAACGCGCGACAAATTCATAAGCGAGCTTTTGACGTTCGGTGCGCCGCGTTGCGCGGCCCAATTAATTTATTTGTCGCAACGCGCGAGAAAGTAGTGCATCGAATTTTTAGAATTATTTTATCCTTCTTTTTTTTGTTTTATTTTTGTTGGAAATTAATACAATGAAAAGAAAACTGATGGAGTAAAGTTGCGCTCTATGCAATTACAGTTAACCAATTAATTGCTTTCCATCGTGCCAATTTTTTTACTTTACCCATAAAGTGGAAATAGCTCTCTCGAACGATCCACGGTACTTTGATTTCATATACAACAAACAATACAACGCGCCGATATTTTTTCAATATTTATACAAGTAAATGTGAACGTGTGGGTGCGCGTGTGAGTACATGTGTGTATGTGTGTGTGTGTGTGTTGACTTTAATCGATTGAAATGTCGCGAAATAAGGATATATCGCGCGCATAAGATAAACGAAACTCCTGTGTACTGTCGAGCGAGCCGCGCCGTAGGATTTTTCGTGAGGATTACCCCCTTCTTTATTATCCTCGGGATCATCCGTTTATCGTCGGGATCCTGCAGAATAGGTCACCGGTTGAACACGATTAACTGTGAGGTGCTGCTGTTAACCGGATTACGCGGAACTTGAGTTTTCTAAAGTAATAAAGGGGAGCTCTCTACGGCAAACTGATGAAATTCATAGCGCTATACACGGGGTGTCGCAAATACACCCGGCGGCCGGAGGACACGATCGAGATTAATTAACGTCCGAGGTGCGAAAGTGGGCGCCTAGCTCCTTTGTGCGCGGGGACCTTTGTGCCTTTAATTCCAGCGTAACACGTAGAACCCCCATTGTTATTTTTATTATGCTCTCTGAGCACTCGGACGGTGATACACCGAAACATAATTAATTCCAGATAACTTTCTGACACGACGGAAGTGACACGCATAATTTCTGCTGCGAAATAAACCGAAAGCCTCTTCGTGCAACTGACACCTATTTTCGCGTGATTTACATTGAATTCTTTCCCCAGCGAAGAACTCTGTCGCGCAATTAATTACGTAAGTCGTCTGATTGGAAATCGAAGACAGTTGTTTCACGACGCAGCGCAAGAGAGAGTACTTCTTTTCATTATCTTGCCGGCTCATCGACAGGTAATTAATAAATACTGCATCTCTCAAGTATATGTGTATGTAATGATTTTCCACGCTGTTGTCTGCTCGATTTCTTTACGATTGAATTTTCACAAAAGAAACGGATATAGCATTGTTAAAGACACCCTGTATACGCGATAATAGACCACCCCGTTAATTGAGTTCCAAGTGTTTATTTTATAATCTAATTTAAAGAATGGAATGGTGTGAAAGTCCGTAAACTCGCGGAGTAACTTCTAATATTCCAGAATGCGCGGTATCATAAATATAGCAGATTGCATCGCAATGAAAAATTAACACGTATATGCACACACGTGTGTGTATGTGTGGAAAAGTGCACGTTGATAAGATACAATCAGCGGTAATAGGCATCCGCACATTTTTGGCAATGTTTCAACTCTAAAATCGCCGACACGCGATGGATAATACAGCGATCATATCATCACGATAAGCCTATTTCACATCTTGAGATTAGTCATATACTTAAGAATCGCGAATTGCAACGAAAACATAATACACAGTAATACAAGCAATGTTATACATAGAGATTCATATCAATAGTCGGTAGTTGAAACATGCCTCAGGCGAAATACTCAGTCTGGAATTTAGAGATAGATGTGAATTATCAGTTGAATCATATTATATGATTCAAGTGAAAGATTAAAATCTAGCTCTAAATTCAGATCCATGTGAGATCCATTGTCTCTCTCACGTGAGACAAGTTTCAATTCATACAGCATGAATGTCCATAAGACATCCCAGAGACAAAGTCCGAAAGATATCCTATCGCTTTTGACGTCTCTCTAGGATATGTATAAGACATATGCTAGACATTCGTGCTGTATGGCGAATAACGACTATACTAATGCCGGCAAATACATGAGACACATGAATCAGTCATGTATGAATCAGCGAGGCCGGTAGGTATACGATTCGATCGGTTTCTCACGAATTGAACTCAATTACCTGCAGTTCCGCAGAATTTCCAAGGCGGATGGTCGGCTTTCCGTGCCTCTCAAGCCTCCATCTTAATTTCGAAAGGCAGGAAAGTGTTTCTTATGGCGCGCAGTGCACGCAGCGCCATCACGCGACGCGCGGCACGGCCTCGCACCTCGGACGCTACGTACCTGTGCCGCTCTCGCGCGCACTCTCGATCGGAAGGCACGCATTTCCAAGCGGAATGTTTTCAGGGGAGTAGTAACGCGGCGGCTCAGACAAAAAAATGGCGGCGGCCGATCGAAGGCGGTAGTGGCGGCGTTATGACGCATGCCGCGCAGCGGCGGTAGCGACGACGACGACGACGGCAACGAGGACGACGACGACGACGACGACGACGGCGACGGTGGTAGTGGCACGGTGGTGGTGGTGGTGGTGATGGTGGTGGCGTCCCTCGGCGGCGCCACCGTCGAGCTACCCCCGCAGTTCGATTGGGGACACCGGCCGGCACCGACGGCCGTCGCGACGCTCCGCGAAGCGTGTGTGGTTCGTCCGAAACTCGTCGCCGCGTCAAGGTGAAGACAAAATTCGCACGAAAGGATAACAACGACGGACAGAGAGAGAGAGAGAGCGAGAAAAAGTTACTTGGTCCGTGGGAAAAGAAAAACGGAGACGGAGCGAGTGGGCTAGTGAGCGAGCGAGCGAGCGAGCGAGAGAGAGAGAGAGAGAGAGAGAGAGAGAGAGAGCGAGCGAGCGAGTCGAGAGAACATTCTGCGACAGGTACGGGGAAAGACGGGAGCTTTACCGGCGACGCGTTCGGCGGGGGTTAACGGTGTGGCGAGGGGATTATATCGCGAAAACCACACGAGAGAGAGAAGCTACCGAGTTTTGTAGCATCGTGACGCTCCCGCGACCGACGCACGACGGTGCGCGCTCCGTTCGTTCGTTCATTCGTTCGTTTGTTCGTTCGATTGGCGGCCGAACGGCGCGCACACACACTGCCCTTTGGCGAAGGGCACACCGCGAAAGCGACGCTTTTTCTTTTATTGATTCAGCCCTTCGGTTCGCCCGTGGCGTTCGCGCGATCGCTCGATAAGTTGCGTATTCGCACGCATCGTGGAATCTTGTCGCCGCCGCCACTGCCGCCGTCGCCGCCGCCACCACCGCCGCCGCTGTCGCCGCCACCACCACCACCTCCACCGCTGCCCGCTCCGCCGTTGTGTGTTTTCGACGGTGAGTTCGCGCGACACATTGCGAGTCAGCTCTTAGTCGTGTTTATCGATCAAAAATTACTCGGCACCGCGCGCGCGATTTCCGGCGAATCGCGATCGTTAAGGCGAGTCGACGGCGCCATTCGATCGTACGTCTCGCCCACGGAGTCGGGGGTTGTTGCTTGTTGCTCGCACACCACTACGACGGCGAGTCGGAGGGGCGACCTTTCCCGAGGAACGAATTTCACGCTCAGCCGTGTAGATTATCCGGTAATCGTTGGAAACAGTAGAGCGGCTATTAATACACAGGGTATTGAATCGCCAATAAGACGAATAACCCACATATCTTATACATTAAAGATGCAAGTCGTGTCCGTCGCCGAGCACGAAACTTGTTTAATATGGAAGGAGGCGCGGAACTCTCTCACGTATGCTCTCTTTTCTCTGAAATTCAATCGATCTTGTGGAAACACATTTGAAGATTAAGCGCGCATGATAATATGATGTAACAACGTAATATCTCTCTTTCCCTGTAAACTCTTTTCTCTGTAAACTGTATTACATGTGGAAAGATCGATTCGATATTAACGCCATTATTGTCATCCCTGCCATTATTGTCACTTTTCCGTGGCAATTTTCGTCTCTTATTTATTGAACGTTCATT